TTGCGAAGCTTTTTATTCATGTATAGTTGTACATTACGATTTAGTTTACCTAGTTAGTGATATCTTCGTGGCTTTGTCGAAGTTGTGAAATATGCAAATTCATAACCCAATTATAGGTGCACCTGATTCTCGATCATTTAAAGCTTTCTAGAGGGAGCACTGAAGCAGCAGGATCATTCTAAACATCAAATGCATTTTTGGTTGTGGTACAAAGCTATACTTTTAGTGTTTCTTGAAAATAACTGAAGGTTCCGGTTGTCAAAGCAGTTTAACCATATAGCTGGCTGTAGTTAATTTATTGTACAGTTAGAGTTACTAAGCTTGCATATTTCAGAGGATTTCTTTCTTTCAAATTTACTTGAATTGGAGTTGGAAATAATCAAAATTTGCACTAAGTTAACACACAGATTTGTGATAGTTGTTTTCAGACAATGCAGATTTGAACGTTAAAGCAAGTGAGACCTGTCAAGAAATCATCGATCCAGACAATGGCGATGGTTTTGCTCTGATGTGGGGCGGGGCCAGGTCGACATATGGCATTCGAATTTCTTCAGATGTAGTTAATTTTCCTGCTGTTATGTTCCAAATTAAGGTTTGATATCTGTTTTGCCCACTGTTCCTTTATTTCTCATAAGTTTTTATTCTCAACTTATTTTCGTATATGTAATTAATTGCGTTTCAAATTCTCGATTTATTAGTACTATTACAGCTTTTACATTGTTTTTTAAATTCATTTAATTAACAGCAAATAAAAAGCTATTTGTAGCTGTTGGACTGTTTGCCAATTAAGCATTTACCATTCGAAGAGATAGATGCTCATAATGTCCGCGTGGGATGGTCAACTCAGAATTCTACAAATATTGTATTTTTTTTCTCTATATTTAGCTTAAAAATTTTTACATTATAATTATTTAAGCAGATATTTTCCACCTTTCCATGCCATTGCACGATTTGAAAATAGTTAATAACTGATAGTTTTGCATGTTCTACTTGTGTCGCCAATTCACTAATTATTTTCAGTTGGGAGAAGCACCCCACTCCTATGCATATGATTTACTGGCGAAGAAAGCTACAAATAATATTTTCACCGATTATGGTGAGCCTTGTCAAGTTGGCGACGTTATAACTTCATGTTTGGTAAGTTTTTAAATAAGTTTTATTTTTTAATGCAGTTTGCCACTTTATATAATGAAAGCGAAAAGTACTGTTCATTTACTCATAAAGTTTTCAGGATTTGGCATCAGGCAAAATACATTTCTGGAAGAATGTAGAATATTTGGGAGTGGCTTTTTCAGAAGTCAATTTCAATAAAAACGACATTGTTTTTCCCCACATCTGTACGAAGAATTACAAACTGTCTGTGAATTATGGTGACAGTCAGTGTGAAGGATGGATGTCAGTTACGGAACTACAGAAAAATGGGGTATTAGGCATTGACACCTCACTCATTTACTTCAGCAAGTTGGACCGGACAGTGCTTGTTCGCGGTCTGATACCACCATCAAGCAAAAGTGAATGCACGGTAAGCGAAACGTAGCGAGTTAATCACTGAATATTCAGAACCAGTGTTGTTGAACTCCAAATAATATGAATAAGACTAGAACATTTCTAGGTTTTAATGATGGTAGGCTTGCCAGGAGTTGGCAAAACAACCTGGGTACGACAGTATCTTCGTGAACATCCGCAAGAGCAGTGGACTTTATTGAGTACTGATACAATACTTGCAGCAATGAAAGTTAATGGAGTTCCAAGAAGTAGGGTCCATCAGGTAAATTGCTGAGTATGTGTAGTAAAAGTTCTGTCTGGTAAAAATCGTCTCCAACTAGATTTTAAAAATAATGACTGTGTTTTAGTATTCAGAGAACATTGTTTATAGGGTAGGTGGGATATGATAATGGGACTTATTGCTAAGGCGCTGAATCGTTCCTTACATTTGGCCTGTAGGCGACGTAGAAATTATATCATTGACCAAACTAATGTCTCAAAAGAAGCAAGAAGACGAAAGCTATCTCAGTTCAAAGATTTTCAAGTAAATTTCCTTTCTTATTGTTGGATATTCGATGTTTTTTCTAGTGTTGTGAAACAGGGTAAAAAAAAGAGTTTCAGTAAAACTTTCCTTCAGTTGTTAATTCAGCAGTCTGTTTTTATTACTTAAACTATAAATTGTCTTTTAATCACAACATTTTTTATTTATTGCTTCTGCACAATTTGCAACCTTGTTTTGAAAACTTTTAGCGCAAATGTGTCGTTATAATTCCATCAGAAGAGGAAATGATTGTCCGACAAATGAAGCAATCACGTATGGATGGAGCCGGACCAATACCCGTAGAAGCAATGCTGGAACTTAAAGGTAATTTTTTTCGCATTTTCAGCTTTGAAGCGCAGTTTTTGTAGAGGGAACACTGGTTCACTAAATTTGCATTTTGAAAGCAAAAAGAGGGAATATTTATCTTGTAAAGAAGAGCAAATATTTTATTTGAAGCCGTATTTGTTATTAGGATTTTGTAGAAGTTAAAACGGCATATATTTTTTTTTCATAAGAGAAGTTTAGAAGTTTACATTTCCTTGAACTTTCATTGTTCACATAGTACCTATGGGACTATTTTGTTCTCTTCTGCTTTCGGCGTATTGGTTAAACTTTATATTGTGTAGAAGCCCCTTTCAGTTTCTTTTACTTTTCAGTATTTATTTTCAAAATGATTTGGGTGCAAGTTATACTTTGCTGAAAATAGTAGTGATTTTTGTAATATTTCAGCAATGTTATCAATACCAAACGTTGAGCTAGAGCCTATTGAAGATGTTTTCTTCGTGGAACCACCGCTGGAACGGATTGGTGATGCCATCGATCTCGTTCTACGGTATAGTTTAATTCTTATCTTTAAACTATTTACTTGAGAAGTCCTATGTTTTTGCAGCTTGTATTGATTTATAATGAAAATTATGTAGATTCAATGATGAAGCTCGTCCATGGTGTCAGAAGCGACGGAACCGTCGAGGGGAACCATTGCGGCAGAATGATTCAAGGATGGTGAATAATTCAAGCATACGAATATCCAACGGTTATTGCTACTTTAATTGCTTCGAATATTGCATTTCGCGTGCTTGATTAGCTTTTTTTGCTGAAGGAAATGTTTAATATTTTGTCACTTTCAGAAATTTCCTCAGCTGCAGCGAATACAAGTGTTCATGAGGGTAATCAGTTGAACGGACAGCCGTCACCAGCAGAGACAAGGTTGCTTTTTTGTACATTTGGCAGTACACGAACGTCCATTTGACTCATATTCTACTGAAGAGTAACTTAAGTAAAACATCTAATCCTTTTAACAAAAGATCATCAAAAGATCATTGTTTGATGTCGGGACTTTAAAAATTTTTTGGAGTTTATAATGCTGCTGCTTGTAAAGCAGTAGACTTATTTTGCACTTAGTAAGTCCAGCTTTTAACCTTCCAGTGATTTAAGTTTTAAAAATTGTAGTAACTCGTAGGTATTTTATAAATCACACATTTAATAGTAAATCATTACCACATAGATAAGTCACAAAATATATCAGTTGATATTTCATTACTTTTATCTGTTCTTTTTTCTTTTGCAAATCTTCATAGTACTAATTCCTTTTAAACTCCGTATTGTGTTATCACATTTCTTGTTAAACTTCTTGCATGGAGAAGTTGCTATATCGATTCGCATAACTTCTTGCTTACATATCACCATTTTCAGATCAAACGAAAGCTACTGCGCTTTTGAGCGAGAAGTACCGCCCACAGCATCTTCTTGGGCAGAGCGTAAAAGTGCTTCCACCAGTTAAATATACTCTCATAAGCTGTGCATAATAATTTGGCATTTTGTATTTTGGAAAATTTTCATATCATAATTTTTTTTGTTGTGTAGGTTTTTGAATATGAATTTACTTCTGTGTTTTTTTCTTTTTTGATTACATATCAATATGTTTCACTCTTAGATGCAAGTCGCTACGACTTTACTTTCTGTGTGTGGATGAATGCCTCTCCATGTTCAGGTATGTTTTAGGCAGAAGTCGCTGTAATTTTTACACTTTAATCTGTCATTTCACTGCCCGTGGTAATTTTTGACAGCAAAATAACACAGAAGACCCTTCTACAAAACTTTTTGTTCATTGTTCACGAGTTTTTCGTGCTCACATATTGTATAACTTTTTCAATATATTCGCGTATTATTTTCATTTTCAACAGGATAAGGATGCCAAAGTCTTATGGAAGTTTTAAAAAATATCCATATTCGCCTTTATCAGTCGCTTACAGAAGATGAGCTGCAGACACTTACGAAAGATGCTTAAAAAGTAAAAAAGCTGCCCATTTAGCATTCTGTCTACGTCTAAAAGATCTCGCAATCTATCTATAATATAGTATAGTATAGTATAGAGTGACTGATACAAGGTGAATATGGATGCTTCTTAAAACTGGTAATTCCAAAAGATTGTTGAAAGTAAATTTTTCTAAGTTAGAATAAATTCTATCATTGTTATGGATTTCTGAGGTCGTCTTGTGGACCTTTTAAAAATCCGCTAATGATATATTCATCTGTCGAAAACTAAACTATCTAGGAGCTCATCAATCAAGTCTGATTTTATTCTGATAAAATTGTACTTAATATAAAACAGTTGCGGGTTGATGGATTATTTTAGCCAAGTGTGTTAGTCCTTCGGACAAAATGAGACTGCGGCAGTGAAGGGCCATTCTTCGTCTAGAAGATAAAGTGAAAAAAAATAACATTTTTATTGAGATGCAACTACTGCTGCATTAATGATAGGTGATAAAAGAAATGTTCCAAATTGAAGAGTGGTGAAATCACATACCTTGTTAGCTTCCCCTTACTTTGGTCCTTCCTATAATGTTAAGAAACATCTCTATTTTGAGTCGGTCTTGACTTATTAGTTGTAATCACTTCAAGTGAAAGGACCTTTCCTAATCCACATCATTAATACATATTATTTAACACAATTATCTCACTGATCACGAATTTCATGGTTTGGTTCAACACTTACTGTTCAAATGGCCTCATTGATTTAAAAGATCCTGCAAATTACCAAAATTTGCAAACCAAAAATATTACCAAAATTTGGTCTTATCAGTTGAACATCGTATCTATAGCATTAGATTATGATATCAAATGTTGGCATAAGATAAGAAATAAAATCTCGAAGAGACTTGAGGATCATCGCGAATTTTGTTCCTTGCGTTAGAAGTGGGAATGTGGAAATTTAGTTTAATGTTTTTCTCTTCGTGTTTGAACTTCCACCAGAAATTATTGCCTTAATTTTTGGGAAGTGTGAATGCGAAGGGAATTCTGCAGTTTTCTTTGTCAAATGATAAATTACCTAATGAAGAAGAATAAATACATCACTTTGATATTCGTGTCAATCACGTGTAGAATTTAACGCTTCTAAGATTTGTTTTCTCCGCAATTGTAGAATACTGGCAAGAAGCTCTGTGTGACATTCGATATTTTTGCATACCTACAATGGGACACGACATGTACGTCCTTTGATCTGGTATTCAAAATCTGTCTACACTTTTTAATTGAATAGTTTGTTGTGAGAAACTTAGATGGACCTCAATGGCTGCCTTTGAGAGCAATGCAAGTGCTGGAGGATATTGTCCACTATTACTTCACAACACTAAGACTAAGAAAGTAAAACAAATCAAATGATATTGCAGAAGTCACAGTGCTGGAGAAAACATTGTTGGTTGGGAGTAGGATAATCCAATCCCTGAATGGATCTCAAGGATCTTTGTTCCTTGGCCATACCTACCTTTTATTGGCCAGAATCTACAGAAATTTGCTACAATGAAAAATATCTTAGAAGACATAATCTCTACCAATGCTATCTTTTCTGTATTTGTTGGCGTAAAATGAAACGAAGAGAATGAAAAAGGACGAATAGATTAGAATGCATAGCCCACTGTAGCTTGTCTCACACTTCTTTCTGGCATTTATAAATTGGCGTATTTTGATAAGACCAAACAAGCAAATAGGAAACTGTGCCATTTGGATTCCGTTGATTACACGTGCGCTGCATGTACGACGTTTCCAAATACAACTTTGAGCTGCCAGGTAAGAGTAAAGTGCGGAATGAGCAGCAAGATTGGTGGTAGCAATCCAACGAGCCACGGCACCGATACGCTGATAAGCGCAGATCATCGAAATGGAAACAACGATGTGATGAGCCACGTGAAGATGATTCGTTTTACGACCATCCAATATCAAAAGTACGGTGTCCAATAATTCCCACATCTTGCTGATGTGAAATGTGAATATTGCCTTTCCCGACCTTGGGTTCTTGTAAAGGTCAGCATTTAGACATAAACTTGAGTAGAAGCCTTGACGAAAAGAACTTAGGAAATCAGGTAATAAGGCAAGAAGCAGGACAATATCCGCCAACGCATTAAAGGCGTTCCAACAAAAAATGATCGTTGCCATGCCTTGGCTTCTTCTTCCTTTACAAATTGGCCGCACACTAATAACAAATAACGCGTACGCAACTATGAGAAACGTAAAAAGAGGACGGTATTGTTGCATCCACTCCATCGACAACTGCGCGTCATAATGCAGTCGTTTTCTGTCCATATTTTAATTAGTGTGAGTGAGGAGCTGGCGAAAATATCTATTGGAATGGAGGGAACGAACTGCGCCGATTGGTACGCCCTCCATAATTACAATGCGCTGTTGGCCGCATGCGACTTCTATTAATTTAAATACATGTAAATGAGTAAAATGCGATGATTAAATTCAATGACAAAGGATCAACACAAGGAAGCGAGCACTGTTGGACCCTAATGAAACTCATTGAGCCTAACGCATTGAATGTTCATTGTAATATCCCCACTGACCACCGGCAACACAAAGGTCATCGATCTGGAAGGTCATGGTCAGATTTTCTTTGGTTCGTTAGATGAACTTTAGAAACATAACTGATTCAGTAGGCTGTTTGGCTCAATTTGGCTCAGTGTGACTGAAATGGGAGTAATGAAATGAAAAGTTAAAATATTTCTTTGTTACTGTTAATAAAATTTTACTGATATTGCGACAGAAGCATATGCCTAAAAGGAAGAATTTGAAAGGAAAGTTAGCTACAAATATTTCGATTTTTTTCTCTTTTGAAAAGACAAAGAAATGTCTTAAAAATCTTTTGCTGTCACACTTAATTAATCAGAATTCAGGTAATGAATGAGTAATCAAATCGATTGCTTATTTTTCTTCTAAGTTTAAAATGATGCAACAAAAATTTTAAAAATATTTTACATTACAGGGAAGCTTTAAAGTATATTTTTGAAAATTATACATGCTGAGAGATTTAAGTAACTATCGATCTATAGTTGGCATTTTTCATTTGTGTTTGGTAAATGCCGTAAATTAAAATTAATTCAGTAATGATTTCTTTGTCCGGGACTTCATAGTGTAATGCCGTATTAGCACTCGTCTCGGGAGAATTATTACATAAGATAAGTTGAGTAAATAGACATATAGTTGGAATGAACAAATAGAAACTTCCCACTATTTGGAAAAATCTATTCTTACCAAACAAATATAAATATCACCGTATTGAGCGGTTCATCTGTTCGCAATTTTGCATATTTAAACAGATGCTTTGAAATTAAAAAGCATATCATGGGAAATGATTTAATTTTTCACCATATTAATTACAGTTTACTTATCAAAGAAGGATCTACGTGCATTTCGTTTTTGTTTGATCCACCCGTCAGTAAACAAACACAGCAGCAAAGCAATAAAATAACGGAATATTTTATTAAATGAGTTCTCTTGCCAGCACTTAGTAATTGTTGCTTTTCCATTAATTGTTCATAAGATGATGTATCGTTAGAATTTCTCGGATTATAAAATATATTTTCATAAATTTTGAATGTTGCGACACATTTTTAACTTTAATTTCTTTTTCTGACATATTTATGAAAGACGGAACAAAATTTATAAAATTTTCGTTTCTACTTTTATTGGTTAGTTTAATGTGGTTAAAACTTAGAAAATGAATTGATACTTAAACACAAACACTGTGTATGAAGTGAATATGATACCGTAATTAAAATGAATGCCATTGTCAGGGTTGTTTATGATACCGTGAAGTGAGCGTGTTACCGTAATTAATGAATGTTATTGCCAGTGTTATTTGATGTTATTTTCTTTTTTGTACATTTCAAAAGAGCGGTCGAAATGTCTTCCAATCGGAACCTTTAATGAAGTATCGAATATAAAATGTTTCCTATGGGTGACCCACCTCTGTTCATGAAAATAACATTTAGTTCTTAATTTTACATTGCAAGTCATAATTTCTTCAATCGTTCAAAAAAAATAACAAAAAAAAGTTGTTGACGGAGATGAAGGCACAAACTTCTGAATATTGCTTATTGAATGATTTGGAAACTTCTAGTTATTATCAGTGCAACCGCTTAAGGTATTTTTGTTTGTGAATGAAACAGTGAAGTAAGTTAAAACTATCCTTGAAATTGCGAAAGATCACTGAAATGCCTTCAAAAGTGTTAACGCTAATGTAACTACTGATAAGGATGATTTTTAAGAGGAAAATTAATGAATGCTTTAGTGGTGATGATATGACCTAAATTATTGATATGCTAATAAGAGAGATATGCACATATCAGCTGGATTCTCAGCAGTGATACAACCGAAAAACAAAATGGTTCATTCGTTAAGCTTTCAAGATCAAAGTTCTTTTTCCCAATTGCTACTGTCAAATTAATTAGATCTTGTTATCAAATGCTGAAAAATAAATCGAATTACCTTCGATGTTGTTGCTATTTCATGTACTCTACTCACTACTTAATAACGAACAATTTTCAAAGCTAATAACATTCTGCTGATGATATGACCAGAAAAATTAGGTGTAAGATGAATGGAAAATGTCACACTAGAATTACTTATAACTTTCAATCGTATTCCGTCAAATAAATACTTTACGGAGCCTTTTGCTCATCGTTTCGGCTGCTGCCACATATTTCTAAAAATTTTATCTGTTTAAACTAAACATTGCCATCATAACAGCACGCCATAATAGCCCTTATTAATATTTAAAATTTCTGTATTCAGAACAAACTGATTTTCAAAATGATTATTAGACTGTTAATGATAGTTGCAATGAACAATATTATAATGGCTCAATTTTCCTGCAAGAATCGTAACGGAAAATCTGTTAATTGGTTTGTTTTCGTTCCCTTGAAAGAACCTTCTTTTGCACTTTCATCAGCGAACTGATTAATCAATTAACAAATCAGTTGTTATTAGATTTACCAATTTTTTATTAGTTTACATTTATGCTTAACAACACCAAAAAAATTGATACGATTGCTGATTTGAATTTAGTACTAAGTAACATCCTCGGATGCCAGCCTTGTGAGGATGCAATGATTCTGAAGAGAGCAAAGAATATTGCTAGGATTTGAAAGGATATTCAGGTTCGTCGGATACAAACAGCCCAAAAAGGCATCACAGACATATCCGGGTGTAGCATTTCATTACGCTGATAATGATTCCAAAGAATGGGGTCCAGCAGAAAATTTGAAATCACCAAAGAATGCTATTGCTGTAACGCTTAAACAATATTATGATAATAAGAATAACAAAAAAAAGGTCTTCTTTGATTTACAACAATAGAAATGTTGGAAGTCTTAGAAAGAAAGTTTTCAAGTTTCTCTTGGCCGTCTTGAAATTATTTCCAAAAATTGCTTGTCTACCGAACCCTTAGAAAAATTTAACTTTATAACTGATATCATACAACAATACGAGTTAATATTATTGTATCAATATTACAATTATCATTTACAGGAATTATTTTATCTCTTTTACAATGACCAAGCACCAGTTAACGAAAAAAAAAGTCATCTAAACCGCGCGCATGCAAAAGGGGTCGCTGTTTTCGGTAACACATCCGGTTTCTGGCTTGTTCATAGTGTACCTAAGTTTCCTTCACTTAAACGCTACTCATATGCTGAGAACGGTCAAACTTATGGGCAGTCATTTCTGTGTGTCACATTGAAAACGACATCCATCAAAGTATTTGGTAAGTAATTACTTTAAAGGATTTAATTGTTCTGAGGTAATTTAACTCATTCATTTAAATGATTGGACGCAAGTAGAGTTATAATTGGAATTATTTAATTTCGAAAATTTAGCGAATGCGATGAGATATATCTATCCGGAAGTGTACGGCATCACTGTGCCCAGAAATTTCTTGAATAGATTCCCATTCTTGGAAGATCTGAAAGAGTTAAAAAAGAAAAGAATTTCCAATATGTCATCGTTGCTTCAGAATTTTAAGTCGAATGGTAATGTGGATTTCTTTGCTTTCTCAAAGACTGGAAAATATAACAAAGGTATAGCTTTGCAATTTGTTTCAGATATCTTTGAATAAATGCAGACTATAAAAAGAAAGAAAAACATCAAGAATATCTTGAAATTTCTGAAAGAGAAAAAAGTTTGGAAAGAAAAAAGCACATAAGAAACCTCAGGAAGATAAGCGAAAAATCTCAAATGACTAAACCTTCTTGGATTTAAACCTTTAACTGACAATAAAAGCTAAAAAGTTGTTATAAATTGAGTTAATCTTTATTTGAATTTGATTTGTTCAGATCTTTATTTGGATTTGATTGCAAAAGAAATGAATGTATCACTTTTTGCTGAGACATGGATGAACGGTGCTGCAAAAGACTTAAATTCGGAATGCACTACTAAATATAAAGTAAGCTCAGAAATTACATTTTCACTTAGATTTCAAAAATTAAATTTCATCTAACTTTGACTCTACGAATAGAATCTACAACTTAGATTTTCGACTTCCGAATTTAAGCAACTCACTCAACATTCGTTTAAAGAAATGACGTTGTAAGAATACTACGACAAGTTCTGAGAAAATTATATAATAATAGAAAATCAAATACGCATATTATCTTCTATTAATTTCCATCAATTACCTTAGGTAATAAATGTCAAGGAATTGAATGTCGCGGGTGACAAGTTTGCCAGCAACAGAGATCATTCAAAGTGGGCCATTGCCGAAAACAAAACAAAACCACTTGTATGCATTGGTGACATTAACAGGCAGGTAAGTATGGGATTTTGGATGGAATGTAAGTCTCAAGCTGCCCTTGCGTTTATCATTCAGAAAGGTTCAATTGCAAGATGAGCTTTGATCACAAGTATAATTTTGGATTTCAGAATTTTCAGGAGGGAATAAATCACAATAAAGTGGGGAACTGATAAGCAATTTTTAACAGAATCCTCGCAACATTCTTCAATTGGATTAGTGCAAATAATTTTAAAAAATCAGCAAAATGTTCTTTTTCTAGGAATCACAGAAAAAGCGAGGAGGTGGAGCAGTATGCTTATTGAATAAGAATATTTGGAATTTATATAATAAATCAATTACCGATGTGGAAAGTTGTAAAAATGAAAGTGGGCAGGACTTCTCGTTTTTATTTTGTCATGAAACGGAAACTGGCTGGTATCTGAATAAATAATTAGATCGAAACAGTCTTTGTTGCAGTTGAAAGCATTCCCAGTGGATATTCTCATAACTTTGTTTATTCTCCATTTCGCTTCCTTTTGTTTGCCAATATGTGAATGGAAGACAAATGGAACTGTAAAGAAATTAACTTGAAAAGTTAAAATATCACTTTTTTATAAACTGAGAATTTGAATCACTTCGAAGGAACAGCAGTTAGCTGCTACGACTCATTTACTAATTGTCGTAAGTATTTCATGTCATTCTTTTTATATTTTTGGTGTCAAAAATAACAGTACCTTAATGTCTTTTTCATTATTTTCTAAACTGGATTAAAAACTTTAATTCTCTTCTAGAATATTTTTGGTTCCGGTTTTAGTATATGAACAAAATGAGATCACTGAAATGTTTACTGTTAGATTTATCAATCGTTACTGTCCCTTAGTGGATGATTCTAATAATCATAAGATATTAGCATTGATAATTAGCTGATAACTGTGATTTCACAGGCAAACAAACTAAAAGAATGAAAGCTATAAAAGCGGAAAAACGATACATCAACAAATCAGAAGGACACAATTTGTTTTAAAAAATTAGTGGTTGCACTTCAATGAAAAGTGTTTAAATATTTTCGGATTGTTATTAATTTCGAAAATCCCACATGGAATGGCAAAGAATAAACACAAATAAGTCGTATTTTTGTTTTTGATAAATGTAATTAAATAATGGAGGGGTAATTATTCAAAAATTGATTGCTATAACAATTAGTTTCTCCAAAATAATAGCTGACAGTTATACGTAACGGGTACAGTGACGTCATGTGGTGACAGTGATGATGTTATGTGATGACGATGATATGTTACATGATGAGGATAATCTACATGTCACTAAATTAAGGCTAAGCATCATTTGTTAACACAAAAATCTGCAAACCATTACAGGACATTATTAATTAAACGGTAGCCAAAGCAAAACAGTACAAACAGTAAGGAATTATAGGACAATAAAAGTTCCTCAGATTTAAAGAGAAATTTCAATATTATCAATTTCAGTATCAAAATACATATTATCAGATCTTATCTCCAATTTGTGTATGAGCATCATGTTTCGATATCAGACTATAGGAAAGCTGAGAGCTACCTATAATCTGCTCAACATCGATATCAGAGTAGAAGTTGACAGGTGGTGTAAGGAATGAACCCGGCACGGTTGGCTCGTAATAATCGTATTCCAAATCGTGATCGGTATTAAATGAAAGTGATGAGTGCTCGTCGTTACGTGGTGTAATTTGTGGTGAATTAGTTGCTCGAGACCATCGTAAACCTGGAATAGAGACAAGATACCAAAATGTTTAATGTTTAATAGCCTTAACAGAATAGGATGTATTTTCCCATAACACTTAAAGTAATCACTGACTTTCAGAAACATTTAAACTTTATTTCTTTTGATCTTGAAAATTCTGAGTTTAAAAATTTATTGGTGATGGCATAAACAAACTCTGACTTTTCGTAAATTTTAACCTTTCTCGCGGGGGAAACGTGGAGTCGATGAAAGCTGTATACCGATAGAACGTTTCGTGACCATGGTTCTGTTGACTGATCTGATTTCCGTAGTGTCCGTTTGTCCGGATTGTACCATACTCACATCAGGCCTGAAATAAATTTTAGTGAGCATAAAATCTATCGACAAGGTACATTTTGACACAAAAATAACACTGTAAGCTACAGGTGCAGTTAGTAGTTATTCTACTAGACATATTTGACTAGTGAAGAAGGTGAAATTCCTGACTAAAAAGATACCTGGGTTCGTCCAACGAATTGCCGATGCTTAATTGTTGATTTCGCTTCCATTTTGTTTTTCGAATAACCGATATGGTAGAATAGGAGCACAGAAGTGGCGGAAGAGATATAATTAAAATAATGAATAGACTTGATAGGAGGAATGACAAATCACGATGACAAAACATGCAGGAATGTGACAATGTCAGTGTTGTAAATGATGACAGCATATGATCGGTTGCTGCAATAAAGCAAACTGAATATAAATCCTGCAGTCGATCTAAAATACAAACTTGTATCCGTGGAATATTGTCTGATGGAGACGAGTTAGCCGTCATTGAGATTTCCTATGGGAGACGTCGTGTTCATGTCTTATGTTCAAAGTGGAAGTAAGACAATGCTGGGAGACACCTGCTAACCGAAGTGGTAATTCAGCTCGTAAACAAGCACACTCCGATGAATTCAGTATCAGTGAGTTATGCACCCATCACCAGTTTTTCAAAAAGGCCATAGTAAAACTTCGCATTTATGAAATTTGGGGATTTTTTAGGTTGAATTCCAGAATTTGACTAATTTTTGTATTTATGAATTATTTTACGATGCTGCAGAATAGAATAACGACTAACCATTCTTCCATTCAAAGCCTATTTCTATACCCGAGTTGATATTTGATGAGCTATTCATTTTCAGAAGTGAAATAACGAAGTAATCTTTGGAAGTGAACTGTAAACTGCTTTTATGAGCATGGCTGTTTATTACGGAATCATAAATTAACTCCTGAAAATAACAATTGACGTCAAAATTTTCAGCAACAGGGAATTTCATGATTCTATGATGAGAATGAACCTCTTTTGTTAAACCGCGATAAATTGCAAGTCTAAATTGATTGGTAGTCGCGTCGTGCTTTAATTTCAGATACAGAAATCTTCCGTGAGATTTCAACGTCCAATCTGTGATTTCCTCGCACGTTCGAGCAAAAAATCTTCCAGCCGTATGATTAATTAGGCATCCACAGGAGCATAATGTGTCGTTTACAGTAATTACCATGGCTTTCGATTCTGGAAAGTATCCGGTTTCAATGGATAATCCTGTCTCGCTTCATGTTAGTGGAATTAGTGTTTGAGGAAAAGTATTAGAAATTTTACCTGTGCAATTGCGCGTATCGCAACTCAAAGATTCCACGAAACTTCCTCTGCATAAATTTCCGCCATTTTGAGGAATGGGCGAGTCGCATAAGCGCCATCGTCGTTGTAGCCCACGTCCACAACTCACGGAGCACAAGCTCCATGCGGACCAATTTCGCCAGCCACCTTCCACCTGTCCTACTGAAATGTTATAATAGTTTAGAAACGAAACACAGAAACTGCATAAGGTATTCAGCAAAGGTACAACGAACTATTTAAGACCAAAGATACTACTCTCATATAGTCACTGCAATAATTCCTATAACATTATCGATTTCTGTGCTCGGAAACTTCAAACGAATCTCAGACCGCACCGAATACTCTCGAGATTGCTTACTGCTATATATTAAAATAATATGCACTCATACAATCAGTCTTCATTTCTCTGTGTTTCTAATGAATAGTAATCACTGTCAAGGCTTAACTATAGGATTTAAAACAGAGAAACTTTTCACGTTTGCCGGGCATTTCCTTCTTTGTTTATCATCTCTGTTATTTAGCATAGTAATATTAATCAACTCTTCGGTCTAAAAAATAAGGCTATGAAACTTTCACGTATTTCTACATATCAGTTAACAGTCCTCCTGATAAAAAAGATTCGCCGTGACAGTTTTCGGATCCCTTGTCAAATGGCTGACAAAAGCGCGACACGAGTAACCTCAAGAGTTCGAACTATCCCTCCTGTTGCTGAACTCTTCTCTTCCCCTTTCACTAATAATAATTATTATCATCAACTATTTATCGTTCACTGACAATTTCCTATAATGCACTGAATGGAAACAATAGAGCGTATAATTGCTTTCGTGTCCACTTCTAGCCATATGTTTCTTCCTGCCTCTCCCAACTTTCCTGTCCTAGGACACAGTGTACCACGTACCACACTGTCCTGCTCTTTACTTCTTTTCGCTGGATATAAAACATTTTGGATATATATTTTCTGAATCAATGAATATTCCTCTCTATCTACACTCCATTAAGTCCGTCTAATCTAGCCTTACCTGGCCAATACTCATATGAATAGATACCTTTCGCACACGAACGAATGAGGTTGTAACACTAACTTTTTTACTGGAGATGTGCCCGATCGATTAACTTTCCATTTGCTCTTGTGAAACACTAGAAGTATTCACATCAAAAGAAAAAAATTTGCAAAATGTCAGACATCATAATTCCCTAAGGTAATCAATGGTCAAGACAGAGATTTAAATAGCTGGGCTATAATAATTATTCCAGCCCATTAATCAAATTTAACTGTTATTATCTCAATTCTTTTAAAATCTAAGCATAGCCATAGTCGTTTGAACTGCTGCTCAGAGCTGAGATAATGATATGATAAGATAAAATGTTGAAAACGACAGAATAATATAATGCTTTAAAATGCCATTTGTTTTCATTAATATACATAGAAACAAGGAATATTAAAATGATTTGCATGAAAAGAGTATAATAAATGAATAAAAATAAATGAATGGAAAAGTTAGGAAATAATTTGAAATTACCAAGCAATAATTCTAATTTTGTGAAAGAAAATTGATTTGCACTCAGATAAACCTATATCCTTTTTGTTGATAAGTACTTCAAATTCCCCGCAATTATAATGAGAAGTGAAAGCGGACTGTCACGCTATCCTTCATAAGATGCAATTATTTTCTATTGGTGCCTGAGTATTTGTCCCAGAAGAAATCCTTTTCCATTCTGCTGCAAATGTTTTGATGAAGTTACACACACTTCATCGGATTAAAATTTGAGAATTTAGAATTCACAAATTGCATTCTTCAGCTGTAGAATCAAAATAGAATGGTCATAGATTAATTTCATTTTGACTGAATTTTTGCTTCTGCAAAACTTCCTCCCTTTGATGAGCCGATGCTTTCTTGCTTCTTTGCTATAGCTTTCAACTTTAGCAGTGAGTAGACAGTTCAGTCTAGCACTGACTGCTGTTAACAGCACTAACATTCACCAAAACTGTCAAAAGCATCGATTCTCACTCAGTCCGTTTGAATAATGCTTGCAACAACACATTGCGATGTGACTTTTAATCAATTCAAAGTCGCCGAAAATTATTGTAAGTCGTAAAATTACGTTGTAAAATATTTAAAGTAAGGCGGCAGTTTGCTAATCAAATTGACTTCACACTTATAAACTGTGGAATAATATGGGACTTTTATGTTATCTGAGATAAAATATAGGGTGAAATGCTACTCGAAGAATGGAATATCCGTTAAATTTTAATAATTCATGGATGGACTGACTGCAAAATGAAAATGTAAAGGAAGCAACATATGACGAAGACAGTGCGTAAACAATTGCTTCATTTTAATTAAGTTGCATTGAATGATACTAATGAAGCTTATCTAATAAACCGACATTGCTCAATATGCAATGATAATTGGGAATTAGTATATAATGTATAAATGGCAATAAAGTTACAGCTAGTAACTGTACGATGAAGTGAAGTTAGGCTTTGAAATTTAATGGTCATATTTAGGTCATAAACAAAATGATTAGAAGTTCGCTAGCGAATCACAGTTATCAGCGGGAATACTGAGGTTCAAATAAGATTAATGATCAAAAATTCGAAGTTCAGAAAGTCTGCCACCTATGATACTTCAATAAATACGCAAAAAAAGGAAAAGTTAAAAAACTAACAATTTTCAGTGTAAACGCATTTTCGTGTCCATTCACTGAAGCGTGCAGTAAATTTTTCCACTGATACAATTTGAAAGCAAAATTGCGCATGAATAATATCGAACTGATAACATGGCAGCTCGATTGATTGCTGTGATAACTCTTAAAAGAGGAGTAAGCCAATCTTTTCCACTAATTTTAATTAAATATATTAAATACAAGCCTAGAGCATTACAGCCACCAAAACATCCTTCATTTCTAACTTAATCTTCTTCATATAACGGATTAGTAGTTCGCAACGGATGCGAGCAATGATTTCTAAAAGCTTCCAAAAAACGAAGAAATATCTTCCACTGATAATCCAGTGAAATTCGATTGTATTCAAGGAAAGCCTTGCCAGTCATTCCATATAATCTAATCTCTGTTGTTAGACTTTCTCAAATTGTGGAAATTTCGAGCATAAAAACTAATCTGACTTTGAATAAATTTTCTTTTAAAAGTAAATAAAACAGTGTTTATTTGATTAACAATTGCACAGAAAAAGATCAACGATTAAAAAGTTGATGGTGAAAGAGGTCAGAGGGAAATTGACCATAGCTATGTGAGAGGTCTGCAGTCGATGACCAACCCTTTTCTGTTTGCCGGCAATATTGAAAGATTTAATCGAATGAAAGAAATGCAATTAGCAGATGTCTTTTTTAAGCGAGGAAATTTTATTACTTCTCTGAAGTTTAGTCATTTTATTGAAAAGTTTTCGAGTGCAATGATACCTTCCGTCGTCTGACAGTCAACGTTTTATCTGCCTGAAGAGATAAATGCGACTTTTTATAGGTTTTACTCGTTGGAAAGCAATACTTTAGAGAAATTAATTTCTAAATTGCCATTGAATGAACAGTTTAGTAACGATCTGTCTTTCTACAATTTGCCCATTTGAAATTTAGTCTATACACTGAATTCAAGATTAGATAAATATTGCACAGAAAGGATATCTTTATCAAAGTCTGAACTAATTTAACTGAATTCAAAAATACTAACCGATATCGTATTCTTCCATATAGTATAACTGTTCGGAAGTGGAATCTACCGGAACAGCAAAAACACGCATTTTAAATTCCAAATCTTGGACTAGGCATGATAAATTGGTCCAGGTTATTTTTAAGTAATCGAAACAACGGGGAAAGATATATGACCTTGGTAGGTTAATTGAAATTTCGTTCGTTTGCTGTAGTTTAATCGCTTTACTTTCCTGCATTGTATAAAAAAGTAAAACTAGAGTAATAATTTAAGAAAGAAAAAAAAACTAATTCTATAACTGGGATTAATGATTTTCCTGAAATATTAGATGTAAATTAACAAAAATATTTGTGACGGTTAAAGATAGAAAATAGTTTCGTTATTTTCAGATAAAGTTGAAATATGATTGTCTCTATTGCCGCCCCAGTTTCAGCAACCATACTGAAAACTGAATTATGTATGGAGACGTTTAATCATGCTTGTAAATAATATTCTTTGTGAAACTGTGTCTGATGTGACTGCCTTTCCCGTGTAGTTTTAATAATATAATATTTGTTAATAACTTTATCGAGTTGTTGACGTATTTTGGAATCTTTAAAGGTTGATATTAAGTAGTTGTTGTATTAGAATTCGGTTAGTGGTTTATTAAATAAGCTAAATGATAAAAGAATTGTTTCAAAATATTGCAGATAAGAATAAAAAACGTTTTCCCTTATTGTTCTACGACTTTTTAGTTTTTCCTCATTCATTATGCCAAGAAACGGAGTTTATTTTACAATTAGCATTCGTTGGCTAGACAACGTCATTCGCTGTTGTGCCAATCTCTCGCCAATTAAAAATATCCAAATCATGCGGTAACTGTTAGCTTTATTTTGAAAAATTGTGATCTGAAAACATTGTCTCCAGGCACAGTGTTCATAACACTTCCAAGAAATTTGCAAACACGGTATTCCTCTTTTATTAAGTTTCAAAAATAACAGTAATGAAAAGTAAGAAGGACAGTTGTCGTAGTTTGCTTAAATAATCCGTTAGCCTACATTTTGCAGCTTCATTAGATTATATGACTCACTCTAAATTGCTTTCATCTCGAATTATTATGGAGTAATGACCACTTTGTTTATATCTTGAATTATAATATCCATCCCTTAATTTAATTCCGTTCCCAAATCATAAACTGAGATTGATTGTATGCACCGGAAAGAAAGGTTCGATTCGGCAACTTCACTCATTGTGTCATCCACGAACAATAATTCAGATAGGACGACCCACATATTGTGCATTGTTTTGCATTGAAGTTTACCGTTTGACTATTTCGGAAAACATAGCGATTAATAAATGAAGCACTCAATCAAGTAGTTGTAGTTGAGAATGAATCGCCACTCTGTGAAGTGATATTTTTTTAAAGCAGAAATCATTAACTTTTGCTGGGATATTCCCATTTGTACTTTTTTAATATTTTTTTAAATCCTTTAATTTTTTTCAAGTTTTTTTTTTTAATATTTTGCCATCATGAAAGTGTGAAAGACGGACATTCTTTATCCATTGCTTCTTCAATGAACTTCAAATGATAAATTACCTAATGAAGAAGAATAAATACATCACTTTGATATTCGTGTCAATCACGTGTAGAATTTAACGCTTCTAAGATTTGTTTTCTCCGCAATTGTAGAATACTGGCAAGAAGCTCTGTGTGACATTCGATATTTTTGCATACCTACAATGGGACACGACATGTACGTCCTCTGATCTGGTATTCAAAATCTGTCTACACTTTTTAATTGAATAGTTTGTTGTGAGAAACTTAGATGGACCTCAATGGCTGCCTTTGAGAGCAATGCAAGTGCTGGAGGATATTGTCCACTATTACTTCACAACACTAAGACTAAGAAAGTAAAACAAATCAAATGATATTGCAGAAGTCACAGTGCTGGAGAAAACATTGTTGGTTGGGAGTAGGATAATCCAATCCCTGAATGGATCTCAAGGATCTTTGTTCCTTGGCCATACCTACCTTTTATTGGCCAGAATCTACAGAAATTTGCTACAATGAAAAAATATCTTAGAAGACATAATCTCTACCAATGCTATCTTTTCTGTATTTGTTGGCGTAAAATGAAACGAAGAGAATGAAAAAGGACGAATAGATTAGAATGCATAGCCCACTGTAGCTTGTCTCACACTTCTTTCTGGCATTTATAAATTGGCGTATTTTGATAAGACCAAACAAGCAAATAGGAAACTGTGCCATTTGGATTCCGTTGATTACACGTGCGCTGCATGTACGACGTTTCCAAATACAACTTTGAGCTGCCAGGTAAGAGTAAAGTGCGGAATGAGCAGCAAGATTGGTGGTAGCAATCCAACGAGCCACGGCACCGATACGCTGATAAGCGCAGATCATCGAAATGGAAACAACGATGTGATGAGCCACGTGAAGATGATTCGTTTTACGACCATCCAATATCAAAAGTACGGTGTCCAATAATTCCCACATCTTGCTGATGTGAAATGTGAATATTGCCTTTCCCGACCTTGGGTTCTTGTAAAGGTCAGCATTTAGACATAAACTTGAGTAGAAGCCTTGACGAAAAGAACTTAGGAAATCAGGTAATAAGGCAAGAAGCAGGACAATATCCGCCAACGCATTAAAGGCGTTCCAACAAAAAATGATCGTTGCCATGCCTTGGCTTCTTCTTCCTTTACAAATTGGCCGCACACTAATAACAAATAACGCGTACGCAACTATGAGAAACGTAAAAAGAGGACGGTATTGTTGCATCCACTCCATCGACAACTGCGCGTCATAATGCAGTCGTTTTCTGTCCATATTTTAATTAGTGTGAGTGAGGAGCTGGCGAAAATATCTATTGGAATGGAGGGAACGAACTGCGATTTCTGGAATTTAAATACATGTAAATGTCAAGCGATGGATTGATAATCACATAGCAGATCGTACCCAGCTTTTCATCATATTCTGCAAATTTTAAACTTGGTGAAATTACGAGGTGAGCAGTCATTTTCTAGAACATGAAAGTTCCCGTGGACCAGTTTCTTTTTCAGACGCAAGACTGAATCGGAAGAGTGTTCCTTTATATACCACGGGCAAATCCAATCTTTCTGGGCTGATTTAATTCCGAAAAGAACTTAACCATAGTTTTCACTGGGTATACCCAATTTCTGATATCCTATAACGCGCACTTTGTTGATTCTTCTGGATTATCTATCCGTATTATCTTTCGGAGCTTCCGGTTCCACCTAAACGATGGCAGTGAGTGTACGTGCGTCAGTGTGATTTTTAAATGAATCTTTGCTCAGACGAACTTTACTGATTGGAAGGAAGAAATTGTACTTTATCGTTCATATTCCGATCGGTATATCAGCTACAGATGCACAAAGCTTTTATAGAGTCGACCGTACGTTCCTAGCCAGAGATCATCCGATGTTTCTTGAACTGGAAATGTCAGTGGAAATCAGACAATCAGATGAAGAATTCGAAAAGGAAGCAAAATAAATCTCGGATCAAAAAATCAAAAATGCAGACTAAATTCACCTATTCAATGAAACTTGATGAGAAGCTAACACTATCAGATATCCAGAGTTTTTAGACTGAACAATGCCAAGAAATAACCGGACGAAATGCACTACATAATTTTTGACATGTGCCTGATATAGAAGACGATCGAGCATATTTGCGGAGAAAACACACTTTGCGCAAATGGCAATCGGAATGTATGGCACTGAAGACCCACGTTTGCATTCCTTCTAAAGAGCGAAGCAGTACAATTTGAATTCAGAGACATATGTGGTTTTGCTAAAAAATGAAGTTCTCCGCTACACACCTATCGTTGACAGAGGAAGTGTAAAAGCAAATTTAGAATTTCTTTCTTACTGCCCTGTTTCCTTGTGAAACAAAGTAGGTTTCCTTTCTTGATGGTTCAGATCGTTGACTTCATTGTCTTCGATACTGGTGTCGCAAATTATAATTTCGCGAAAACTTCCAACCAATTTCATAGTATCATAAATCATCTCTCCTTTTTAAATTGTAAACAATCCTACGGTATCCACACATGTAATTTTAATCTCCTTTTTGCAAACACCTCCAATTCTTCATGCATGTAATTTTTTCTGTAAAATTGAAATTAGCTTTCATTTTAATCCCTTCGTTGTAAACACTTCCAATTCTTCACACATATGGTTTTTATGTAAAATTGAAATTAGCTTTCATTTTAATCTTATCCTAGACACGCCCAGTCCTCACTCATATAAATTCAATTCTAATAAACAAAAAGGAATCATTATCAATATTGTCGACTACTCCCTGTTAACCAATATCAATTCCTCCGATCTTCTTTATTATAAGTTTCTTCTCTCCTTTTACTGCTCTGTTTATTAATACTACGTTTGCGAAAAATAAAGGCTTATTAATCTTTCTACTGTATTGCAAACAATTCGAATATCAACCAACAAACCCTTCACGACAACTGGTAGATTCTCGAATCCATACTGGTCCCGTTCTGTGTATGTGTAATGTGAAAGTCTTCGTGAAATACTTTATTATTCAAACCTCAAACTTGGGTGATTAAGCCACAGATTAACATTACAAATTATACAGCATTACAATAATTAATTGATACATACACACAAATGTAACTTAATTATAAAACATTTAAAGATATAAGCAGGCTAGACACCTCCCAACCGAGCCATACTAAACAAGGAACTATAATGAGTGGCTTTGTAAGGAAGAAAATCGGGAGGGATTTTATGGGTGTTAAGGTTACAAAGTGGATTACAATCATTTAAAACAATAGCCTTTGTTTATTAGGTTAGAGCTTCGCCATTGTGGCGACACCCTTGGTGTTTCAGTGTATGTCTGCTGTCACTTGTATTTCGCCAGTTCTCTCCATCTCTTCCAGAATTGTCCTTTGCAGTCCATTTTATAAGCATCCCTTAATCGTATTGTTCCTATTTAGAACATCGATTGATTACTGTTTGTTCCTCTAGTTTGTATATAGCTTATTTGAATTAACAACGCTCTTGCAAATTCAAACGATGGGCAAAGTCATCCCACTTCTCACCGGAAATTGTATG